AAAGTATTCTAAATGTAGGCTAATAATCAAAAGGTTGTGAGTCGAGTAATGTTCGATCCTCACTAGATTCAACATGTTATTAATTTATAATTTTTCCCAAAATTCTCTACATATTTTTTGATGATGATCTTTTTTTACATCGTTGCAACATCACCACGATAAATAAATAGTAAATAAACTTACCGGTTAAAGCACTAAAGCTAAAAGATGAACTTTTTCCCAGCTGTGAGATTTTATTAATAGGTAAAATCGAATATGCTTTTAGACTATTTTGTAGTTTCGTAGAACTAAATAAACTAGATTTGAGATCATCAATAACAGCACCCGCAAAATTTTTCTTCATTGTTTTTTTATGCCTAACTTAAAAAAACTACTATCGATAAATGTATGCGATAACCTCTATAAAATTTTACTCTGCGACAATGAGTAGTGACACAGAGCAATCGAGAGTGAATTTATTAGCTTGGAAGGAATATTGTAGCCTTGTATTTATTGTATCGTAAGATATTTCAATTTAAGCCACGGTTCGCCTACGCTTAAGCTATTCCTGAAATCTGTCTAATATAGTCGTTAGAGGGGGAGATTATAGAGGGAGCTTTTAAGTTAAATTTCAATATAACTTCCGCTATAATTCTTAAGCATAACAATTTTAGAAAACATTTTTCTATTTAAAACTTTTTATCACCATATCTTATATTTTGTAGAAAAAAATTTATGAACATCAATCAAAAGATTTCCTGATAAGTAAAAAAATACAATTTAACGATTTATATAGTATATGAGGAAACTTATAAATTAACTTTTACTACGACCCAACGTATCGAGTCCTTCCAGTAGCCGTGGTCATAGGGCACACTAATAAAATCGCATTTTTAACATAAATATGTACATATTTTGTATTGAAGTTCCAATAAACAAATATATTTATCAAAAAACACTTAGGCGTTTCGGTCTACAGTACAGCGGTGGTCATTAAAAAATGACATCCCGCGTTGGTCCAGTGGGATCGGTTAATATAGCTTTCCTTTGCGAAAGATCTGTGCCCATCACTGGGACTTAGGGTAATGCGTTCTTCATTTTAATTTCTTGCATAACTGCCTGTAAATTAATGTAATTTGTTCATAGCCCGCTTCGCGAATGTTTCTTTGCCGGTTGAAATTATGGTTAACTAGCGGGTGCCCGCGACTTCGTCTTCGCAGGATTGGTATTTAGAGTAGCTTATATTAGCGTGGCGTAGAAAAAAACTAACATTATGACATAAATATTTTTTGAGTCGCATTTGAAAAATATACCTGCTTGACAATATTTTAACATAAGAAGGGAAAGGAAAAGGGAAGGGAAAGGTAGGTTTTTTCCTAGTTACTTGACACTTAATGTCATATTTTGTACAGCTTACACAATATCTTTATAAATTGTAGCCTATGTGTTATTCTTATGTATAAGCTATATTATTGGAAAGTTTAATTAAAATCCATTCAGTAGTTTTTGCGTGAAAGAGTAACAAACATCCATCTACACATACAAACTTTGACGTTTATATTATTAGTAGGATACAACGATGTATGTAAAAAAGTTAAATGATAAAAAAATTATAATCTGAGTGGCAATTACCTTAAATATCGTTAAGGTAAAAAAATTTCTCTCTCATATACCTAAAAAAAAAAACAGTGCGGGCCGATTCGTCATAACCGAATTTGACGTGTAATATATTTTTCCTTGATCGCTTCTTGGATTTCCGGTCTCAGGTGCAATGAATTGCCTGCACTTTATCATCTGTGTATAATTCATGTAACAGTTTTGTGGCGATTCTATTCTCATAAAAAATTTATATGCGATATTGATTTAGAGATCAGAAAATAAGCTCCGTGAGAAGGAATAACATTCATAACTCTTTGTCTGTAGTATACATTAAAATTCTTTTAATGGTAAGTCTGTGTTTGTGAAACACTGTGGTTCAAGACTGCCCGTGTCGTAATTTTTTTATCAATCGAAATCGATCGATTTTTAACTTATATTGTGCATATAATTTGCAATGACATGGTACAATATTAGTTTTAATCGGCTTAAAAAAAGAAAGCATTATTCAATTGCCATCATAAAAAAAATACTTTATTTGAATAGTGAAATTCCATTGCACTAAGCACGAGAAGTCTTGGGGTCGGATGCTGGGCACACAAGTCTGTTCAACATATGCCTGTGATTGAAGTCGATTTGTGCGCCTGGGATAAGAACCTTGGACTCTTCGATAACCCATGCATTTAACTATCGGGCCAAGATCATCATAACGATTTCAAAGAACTTTGTTTTCGTCAGTTTGAAATGGATTAGTAAATCTTAAGATCGCACAAAAGTACTCACCGATTTCAAAATTTTAATAAAAACTAATATTAATGGTTAATTTCCTTCGCTTACCGAAGTTTACATACAAATGCTTCTTTTTTCTACATATAATATATAGTTAAAATTAGATGTTCCTCTACAGCAAACCAACGAAATAAAAGGTACTTTAAAATTTGAACTTGTATGTAACCAATAATTATAAGCATCGATAAATTAATTGGGAGATATAATTTAAGTCAATAGCATTAAGTTACTGGTATTCATTTATATTTTGACAAACCCATATATCTGTATCGTGGTAAACATCGAGTCCTCTACTCCGTTGAAGAGTTCGTACCTACTTTGATAGTAAACGTCATGTTAAGGGAGTAATTAGGTCCGGAAATGTTTTACCATAGAGTTATTTTATTATTATTTTCAACCAAATCCCACAGACCTGAGTTTCTACTTTTATTTGATTTTATGTTACAGTGGATAAGGGGTAGTTGGTCTGATGGTAGCAATGTATGGTTATAATCCACCGCTCGTGGTTTTAACTGAAACATGTCTTCTGAAAATTTGGATAGTAGGGATATATTCCGTCCAAGTAAATAATCTCCGTCCACTGATAAGTTCGTGAAGCTTAATTGTTTTTTGGTAACATTTTAATATCCAAAACCAAACTAGGTGCGAGTTTGACATCTTGTTTCGTAATAGGTATACGAAACAAGATGTCAAACTCTAATAAACCATACTGATTGTGAACCGATAAATATGTCCTATTGTTATGTTCTTAACTTAACTGTTTTATTGCAAGTGTATTGAATATTATTTTTTTTTCTTGAGAAATCTAAATAATAAAATACCAGTCGATATCTGAACGATGGAAATCAGCGTTATCTCTTTCGTAATCTACCTCCGTAAAATTCGTAATTAAATGAAAATGAAACAATTTGTCACCAACAGCTTCGCTGCGACGCTCATAAAGGGAAGCAGCAACAAGCGATTAAAATTTCTGCCCAAATATATCGAAAACTGTGAAAGTGATGTATCGACGTTTTAAAATCGATTTCACGGCACATCTTTAGGACTTGTCGCAGCCATTTTTGTATTTCAATTAAGCGAGGCGATATTTTACCGAGGTCAAAAGTGATATAGATAAACAATACTCTATATTCCGAGGCGTATCGTGTGAAATAAATCATCGGTTCGTAGGTGGTCGCAGGCGCAACCGGCAATTACCAATTAAACGGCTCGAACGAAATTCGAATTTCAAATTCGTTCGCTTTTGACTTTTCGAAAAATGTCCAGTAAAAAAAACAAAAAAAGAATAATTAAAAAATCCTCAATAGATCAATCATCAAGAATAAGAATTGAAGAACTTAATTAGTTACTTATGGAGACTTATCATTCAGCTTTTGCTGTGCCTGTGATATCACAGTGTTCAATTATCAGTAATACTCTAGTCTAGAAATTTAAAGCAGAAAACAGACAATTATTATCTTAAAGGTTAGTTTACCTCCAACGACTACACAATTTTTCTCCCCCAGAAGAAGACTTTTGTCTTCGTCTTTTTCAAGATCTTCTCCCTTAAACTCAATTTTGATTGAAAAGCACTTTCCATTTAAATGGGTTTATTACACGATTGTCAACATTAGGCGTCATAAATTTACGGGGTTATTAAATACTTCATGACAATAATCACATGTAATATAATATTATCAGAAATACTTAAATAGATTTTTTAATTTAAATATAATTAAAAATGAGCATTATCAATTATATCTAAAATCTAACTATACATTTTACAAGAAAAAGATTTAGAAATGTCTGTATATTGAAATACTTGTTTATAAATCCAATTTATAAATGCAATAAATTATAAACATTTAATGTTTTATAACTATTTAGGAGTTACATGTATAATTAATTAATATGACAAATATCTACAAATATTTACACTTATAAATCAATTAAAAAAATAATATATAGGTAAATGAATTATTGTCAAACATATTATGTATTGTGAAACGTGCAAACAAACGTTAATGTAAATAATATCATTTGACTTATATCTATGCTTCGGAAAACAAAATTTATCATTGTGAATAAATAGCGAGAAACGCAATTGTTGTGAAAAATATTGTTTTACAAAATGATAAAAATGCCATCTCCACACGCGAGCCGACTAATTTCTTGTCTGGACACACCATTACTCTTTGGTGTAAAATTAGTTATAATCTATACAACCAAATACAAATATTGTAGGATACCTGGTCAGCTAATTACAAAGGCTAGCTGTCTGCAAGTCTTTCTTTGACCAATCTCTCATCTCAGTGTTCTGGTAATGGAATTTTCTACAAGCTAATAAGGTTTCATAGCATTTATTACATCAATTAGGAGACTCGGGACCCTGGATGAAAACTATAGTCCAGTCTTTGTGCATGTCTCGTGAGCATTTATTAGCGTGCACGAACAGTAATAAATGCTCGCGAACTAAATTAACACTACCTATTCAACTAAACAACCATAATTGAAAGAGTATTATGAAATCACATTGGCAAGTAATAAACCGACTATAATACTTAAAAAAATATATTAACTTTAAGTAGTCCATAATTTTAATTTCATTAAACATAGTACTTTAAGTCGGTTGAATTTATAGTTAATTTTAAATTAATCTACAAAGCACCTCCGATATTGGGGGTTTTTACGAAGTATGTTGTAAGAGTGCCTTTTCCTTTTACGTATGTAGGACCTCGGCATTCACAGGTATAACCCGCGTTCATTAAGACTCTGAAAAGACATAAAAAGCTTTAGTTAGTTGCTACTGCTCCTATCTATAAATCCCCTAATGAAAATAAATCTTATTTCACCTTCTACTAAAAACCATATTTTCTTAACTTTCGGGAAATTTATTCCAATACATTCAATGCGTTTTCAGAGCTTCGTAAACATAACATGAAGTATAAATCGAACTTATAAAAATTTACGCCTTAAAAATCGTATAGCAAAATCTGTAACACAAACGTTGCTAAAATTATTTGACAGGAGTATAAAAAAACTAAGAACGTCCTTATTTTATTTTTTACTCTTTTACTATACTTTCGAAAACGATTAACTGGAGTTGTAGCTATGAAATTACAATAGCGCAAATTTTCAAATATTCGCTGAAATTTAAACTTATTTTAACTAATATATATCGCGTTTTAAAACGATGAAGTGTTTTATTCAAATGTTTACTACTCGCGATAACTACAGACAGTATTCTCTAAACACGAAAAACTCGAAACAGTCACAATTATTTGTAATATTATATATTATATCAGTTCGTATAAAAACAAACAAGGTGGAGGAAAAATTCAGGCTACTAGTCCAGTATTTATATATTAAGGTTTCCTTACTTAGCTGTGTCTTCAGTGACTTGTATTCTTCCCATAACTCCAGTGGAATCCATCCTCGACGCCACGTTCACGGTGTTACCCCAAATGTCGTACTGCGGCTTTTGTGCTCCCACAACGCCAGCTATTACTGCGCCATGGTTAAGACCTGGAAGTTAATACATTGAAAATCAATATTTGCATAACATACAGGTTTACTACAAGACAAATAAGACATCAATACAATAAACAGGACAGACACGCATGTCGTTCACTCGATGATAGATGATACACCAGCCTATAACATCTAAACAAAATGCCCTGTTGACCCATTTTGGCTTTGGATTCTGAAATCCAAAGACGAAAACTGAAACGTCATTAAACCACCCATTTAATATCTTAATTTCCAGACGAAGTCTCAGAAGAATTATACATTGGTAAGAATATTGTTGGACCCGGCGGGAATCGAACCCATTGATTATTGCCGTACAAAGCTACCATTAGACCAACGAGCCCGACAAAATTAAAGTGTTTTAAAAAAAGTAAACAAACAGACAGACATGCACATACGTATATTAACATATCTGTTGACCTATTCAAAAAAAGCAAATGTGAATGTAATAATTAAAAAAAATATAGTGTTTTACTAACCAATCCTCAATTTGAACCTCTGAAACGACTCTCGGTTGATTTGCTCCAATATCGTCATTAAAGCAATCGCGAATTCTACTAAGATCGCTACTGTGTGTTCTTCTTTTCTGGTGGCATCCTGAAAAATTGCAGAATAGAATGTTTTAGAAACATTTGAATCTTGAATCTTGCTTTCATGTTACGAAAAGAGATATATAAGAAATGTCTATCCTCTTATTTCAAACTTAATAATAATTTTTATAATAATAAATGTTAATTGTTTAAGTATTGTAACAATTAGGATCTAAACTTTATTACGCGGCAGCCCTAGGCTGTCCAACTACGGGGAAACTGCTGATAGTGCGCGTATTCGATGCCCGTTCGATCGGTATGTGACGCTACTGTTGCCGTACCCATTTTAGTATAAGAAATTAATTAGAATATTTGTTAGAGTCGACCTGATGCATCGTGCACAGGGAGCCCCCTTATATTAATTAAATGTAGGAATACAATTGTAAGCGTCGAACTGATGCATCGTGCACAGGGAGACAAGTAGGATTAATTAAATGTAATATTTTTTATTAAATTAATTATTAAGTAAACGAGATTTTTGCAACCAACGGTGGCGACTAACATAATTACGGTTTGAGATTTTTATTTTCAATATCATTGTATACAAAATAACATGCATTCTCGTAACTAGGTGGATTTAAAAATACTTACTATGGGCTCTTCTTTTCCCGGTCTTAAGCCGGAAGCTATCATATACGTGCTTCCTATCGTCTTAATCTTTTCTATACAACTGAATTTCGGTTTGAGTAATAACTGAAAAAAAAAACGATTTCAACAAAAAAATTCAACATTTGGGAAAAGTTTTATCAGATAGAATTTTATTATTTTTAAAAGACAAAGATTATTTAAAATTTTGTTTGATTACCTAATTATCTGGGCCACTTTGTGAGTGCATTTGACTAGAAATCATGATCAGGGTTCGATTGTTGTTTACGTAACAAACTTGTTAAACAAGATTCTAAGCAGACTATAAATTGAAATATTACCTTATCAAAATCACAGATAATCTCATTGAGCAAACGCAGACACTCCAAGCCTTGCTTATTGACATCTGTTTCATCGTAAAACTCCTTGTAATTCGGGATAGAAGCAAACATCACAGCTATGCTAGAATATCTTTCGTGGTATAGCTCCTCCTGGAAGGCATATATGTTATTATTTCGACTTTGCTAGTTGTGGCTATTAGAATAGAGACAAGCAAAAATCTTATCATTTTCCTTTTACCTTATTTTTTTATTATATGTTCTTAATTTACAAAATACACAAAACGAAGCTCATTGGACGAACGGGCAACCATTATTTTATATATATGAAATTTTTTACCTTACCTTAGAAGCGACGGACGTCAAAAAATGTTGCGCGACGTGAGCCGGTAGAATATTCTCTAGTAATATCTGAAACGTTAAAAATAACGTTATTAATAGTTGGAAATATAATATGTCCAAACGGTCATTAACGGAATGTCAACTGACAGAGAAGTGTGAAGTTAGCATAGCCGCCTTGTACAGTTTGTGGTTTGAAATAAAAACCTTAAACTGTAATACTTCTCACATCTTATTGCACATGATGGCATGATATAAATTAAACATCTGTTTAAGATTGAAAGAATTTTACGACACCCACAAGACTTGAACCGGCATCCACATCGATCCGTGCTGTTGCTACCGTACCTATTGATACACGCCCTCCTCGCGCTTTGTAATTTCAATCTTTGAGATCTATTTTTAATAATCCTAAAATTTTGGTCTACATATAATAATACGAGTAGTTGTGTAAATTCTTAATGAATTATAAAAAAACCAGTGTGTACCTTATTTATTCCCCTCATAGTTTCCACTTCTTCCTGTTCAAATTTGAGCTTGTCTTTCCACAAGAAGTCTGTTCGAGATGTGAACTCTATCTGCCTATCCAGAATATGAAGTAATGCAGCCAAAAATACCAACACCAGACCGGCTTTAGCTGAGTACGGGAGCATTGAAAACCTGACATATATTTAAAGATTTAGGTATGTGGTATAGATATAATTACATATATAAAATATATTTCTTTCCACTTAATATATTTAAAATTGGTTATTATAGATTGTTTGAGAATTCGTTACGTAACGCTAGTTTTCGTGTCATCATAAACGAACAAAAGTGGGTCATTTTTATTTATATTAATATTTAGAAATTGAGAAAACTTTGAGGATTAAATTTGCAAGTACTTACTCTGTATCAAAATCCCGATATTGGTATTGGCTGAAGAGTTCTGCTGATGCGAAGAGGGTAATGTGGACGATGAGGATAAGTATCATGAAGATCAGCTTCAGCACGAAGCCTATACGAAGAAACACCGATATTGACGCTAACGTCAAAACAGAGCTATACAGGTAACTCTGTAAAAATTAAATCCAAATTAGTGACACGTAATTAGTCACTAAAATGATTGGCTGAAATTTCGTTAAGAAATAAATAAAATACTTTTAACTATTTAAAACGAGAAATATGTAGTTACACTTTTTATTTATTTAATTCGTGGTGACGTGGCTGTTGCTAAGCAACCGAAATGTTGGGTGGTAAACAAATCAATTATTTTATAAATTGTATTTCACATTTTCAACAGTTAGAAATGTTTCTATGTGTACTGTTCGCGTAAAATACAGACAGTAAGGTATGTATACGACATTAACAAAAAACATATGTTTAAAAATATTTAGCGTTAAAAAAAATTGTGTAGATAAAAAGAAAATAATTAATGCTTATTGTAGGAATCTATAATAAAGTAAAATGATTCTAATTTACTGATACACCTGTTTGGTCTTGGCTCTTTAAATTTCACAACTACTTATTCTTAATCAAATTTGGTTTGTCACCAACCAATGTATGGTTAGATAATATAAATAATTCACAAAAAACACATATCTATAGTGACTTAGTGATTAGAAAAATGTTAACCACTGACCGGAGCAGATTCCACGTCAATATTGATGCTAATTCCTGTTATGTTCGTGGCGTTGGTGTAGTTCTTTACCCAAACTTCAGTCGGGAACTCTTGAATGAGGTAAGTCTGGAACTAAAAAAAGTTGAAGCTTAGTAACTAATATGAAAAATTTACAAAAATCTGTTGACTAATGGTACTTTTATGCAAACTATTTACATATAGCTAAATTAATAATCGATCTTTGATATATTATATACTAGCTGTGTCAGCAACTTCATCTACGCGTTCATTCGACTTTTCCCGCTTTTTCTTCGCTCCTATGAGACCCAGCACGACGTTTTATAGAATCATTCAATTCGAACCTGTAGTTCTTGAGCTCACCTCAAACAAACACTTCAGCCTTACGTATTAGTATAGATAAATTCTAGTTTTTTGCTACTTCATTATTAATAGAAAATGCTAACTACTACTAATAACATATTGGACTTTGTCTGAACATCTAGATATGCGACCAACGTCCACAAATAAAAAAGCCGTGAAGTTTAATCGCGTTTCGGTTTCAGTTTATAAATTTCCGAATATCTGAAGTCAAAATAGGTAGGCAGCGCATCTTATTTAGATTTTATATAGCTCGAGTATTTCACCTACCATCAAGTAAACCCCAAGTTTGTCTGTCCTCCTCTGTTATAAACAAATCAACGATCGTGTGGTTTGAACTAGCGTCCACGGCGTTCCGTTCTCTAACCAATTGAGCTACCGTATCGTAATTATTATTATAGTATTTGACATAAGAGCTATTATATTTACAATTTAAATAAATAAGTGTACTTACTAGATTGATAACAGCACAGGCGCCAATTAAGAGAGCAGACACCATAAACATTGTCAATCGAATGTAACAATTGCTCGCAACTACCTGAAAACACAAAATGTTAATCATATTACGGTCTTTGATTCTTCTATGAAAAAAATTACGACACAGACAGAACTTAAATCAGCATCGCAAGCGTCGATTTTTTGAAAACAATTCTCTGCCTTTGAAATTGTCTCCTAATGTAATTTGTAATAAACTATTTTTATTTGTTATTGTTGAAATATGTGTGTATCCAATTAATATAACTGGCTAGTGCCGTTTTAATTGCTGTAAATAAATAAATAAATAAATTCGGTTAGCTGGAAGAAAATGCTTGTTAGCGAAAAGGCCGCCCATTGCACTTCATACCTTTAGTATAGAAGTCTCGTTTGCAAATTTGTTTTTTATTTTGTGCAATATAGTAACAAAATAATATATAAATATAAATAGCCAGAAAATACAGGATTATCAAAAATCCCATCATTTCAGGTTTTTTCGCATGTTCACAAACTACCATTTTTATTAAAAAGTGATTTTCCAATATCATACCTGCCCAGGCTTAGCGCAGTTATCTGAATATAACATGTCCGAGGCATCGGAGAGAAGATGCATTCCTCCTGAAGCGAAGTGGCCGTCATACCACGAGAGGTACACGAAGACGACCAGCGTCAAAAGTGTTGGTCCGAACGATGCGTATAGCACAATTCCTCTGAAAATTGTATCGCTCTATAAGACATTAAATAAACAGAAACGGTTTAAAACGCGAAATATGTTAGTTAATTTTTTTTAAGGCCCTCTTCACAATTTACATTTTTGTGTGTCTTAATATCGTTTCCTTCGCTTACCATTCTTAAAAATCGATGTCTTTGCGAAGTTATATTTTTATCATGGGGAGGAATACGACTTATCATTTCGACGCGCTCGTTGGTGTAGTGATAGCAATGTATGGCTAATAATCGGCGGGTTGAGGGTTCGATTCCCACCGGGTCCAAAATTTAATTATTAGCCATGCCAACCAACGGAAATTTTGAAATTGGCAGAAGAAAGACAACTCAATATAATACTTGAAACAAAACAATTGTCCGAACAGTTGAAAAATACGGCAAATTTGCTTTGAAATGAGACTAACTCATATTCTATTACACATCGATTTACATACTAATATAACACAAACCTATACTAATATATAAAGCTGAAGAGTTTGTTTGTTTGTATGTTTGAACGAACGGATCTTTGGGTCTCCTGGTTCGAATTAAACAATTATTTTTCTGTTAGCTAGAGAATTTATTGAGGAAGGCTATAAAATATAGCGCTGGATAATAGGAGCGAAGAAGCAGCCGGAAATGTCGAAAAAACGGGAAAAATTATTCAACCTTGTGGGGTTTTTATTGCGTACGCTGCGAAAACGGGTCAAGATACCAAGAATATGTACAAAATGATCTAAATAAACTTTTGACACTATATAATACATCTTCGAAGCTTAACTTTGCAAAAACGACGAGACGGGGATGACGTCGTGGCTGACAGCTTAAATTTATAGAGTCATAGAAAACATTATAACTCACTTGGGCAATGTAAACAGCTGTATAAAGGCGAGAAGAATAAACAGTGCGCACGCGCATGCCACGTAATTTTTGAATTGTGTGTCTGGCTGACCGCGGTATTGGCTCTCTTGTGTCTTGTTCTTGAACCAAAGGGTGACTCGACTCATACCTTCTGAATTAGTGCTGTAGCAAAAGAATAATATAAATTATCTTAACATTTATAAAACCCATATATAATCTAGGTTTAGATGAACACCTCATATATCAATATTTTTTATAATAAAAAAATAGTTACTAGATATTTTTAGATAGAATAAAAGTAAAATAATAATTAAACATTAACGACGTCGCCGTACTAGGCATAACATAAACGTGCCTGACTGTTACGGGTACAAAAGACACGGGCCACCAATTCTTCTGGTACCTTTTGCTGGAACGAACTGAATGGCAAAAGCACAAAGGGCGAGGACTGTCAAGGTCCTAAATCAATTACACGAAAAAGCAGATATTTTTTACTTCCTTGGGGTGAACTCACAAATACATTAATGTTAACTTTGAGTTACGAAATCGTATTGTTTCAGTTCATGTATTTTAGTTTTATTATTTATATTGTTTTGTTTTTTTAAGATTACTGTCGCATAGGACAGAGCATATATGAAAATATTAAATACATAATATTAATGAAATGTACATACATTTCAAGTTTTGATAAAAGTTACCTTAATTAATTTAGTGCACATATAAATTATTTTTTGTAAATAAACATTGAGTTATTAGAGGTTTTTCTTTATTCTTAATAAAAAATACCTGCAGTCACAACAGGTTCTCTGGGGTAGTAGGTTTTGCTCAATCATTGCCAGACTCTGGAATTTGAAAAATTTATTGACGTAAATAAAATTCAATATATTTCATTTAGTAAAATTTTAATACCATAAAGTTTATGTGTTAGTGCAGAGGTTTGGAGTAAGCAAATCCTTAACAATACTATCGTAGAGGTATTATGTGTTGTATATTTTAAGTATTTCATTAAAAACAGTTAAAAAATATGCTATTTTTAAATTAAATAAAAGTTAAGATACTAAAAAAATTACCGATATGCCAATATTCTTAGCCAATGTGGAGTCTGTGATGTTCGCGAAAGGCTTGTCCGCACCCCAACATTCGACGTACTTAGTCATCTTGCTCGAAGGGCGTGATCTACTTGGCACGCCGGGTACAGCTGGAATAAAAGAAGTTAATCAACTTAAAATTGCACCATGCATCAATGTGGTTAAATATGTTATGTTTGAAGATGTTCTTATAAAACATAATGCGAATAACAATCGGGCATAACAAAAGAAAGAAGAAAACATAAAGGAAAAAGTAAAAGAAGTAATAGATACATATTAGGAGCGACGCTTTTTATGGGCTTGAATTTTTGAAATCCTTGATGACTTGATGTAAACTCGATGATATCGTAAAATTGTCCAATGTAGAGTTTGTAGTGCAGTGCAAAACGTTATCGAATGGTTCAGGCAATGCATTCGTGCTACCACTAACATGTTGAATCCATAGAGATTGTGCTAAGCATTCTAGTAAAAATCGGCGCTGAAGGCTCCCGTTGTGGCGTCGGAGTATCTGTCTTGCGTTCTAAAAGTTTTGGGACAAACTACATTAGTTTTATTATGATAGAAAAGGCAGAGAAGCATGGGTTCTCGTTATGGTAGGTGAAATACCCCAGCTGTATAACATCTCGATAAGATGCGGTCGACCTATTTTGGCTTGGATGTTCGGATATCCATAGACTAAAACCGAAACGCTTATTCTACTACTACAGCTATATCATTAATAGTTTTCACACCGAATAAAATCAATATTGGTTTAGTTTATTATTTGCAAGTTCATAAAGGCTAAGCACTTATTTAGATAAAACAAATTTAAATACTGTCTATAGTTTACGCGAGTAGTACACATTTAAATAAAACACTTTAACGGTTTAAAACGCGAAACATATTAGTTAACTCATTTTAATTTATTTCAACTATAATTCGATGTTTCGAATGCTTTGCAGCCCTTGTCACGGGGAAAGAGCATCCAAACCGTAGTTAAAATGTAAAGTACTATATTATGTTTGAAACCCTTAAAAGTTTGAAAACATTAATATTTTTTACATGTTATTGCACATGAAGGCACTATATATTAATTTAAAAATCGAAAATAAATTGGAAAATTTTTAGAGCAACAGCACGGAAAGCTGACGATGCCGGTTCAAGTCCTGCCCGAGTCGAAAAATTTTTTTCAATTTATTTTCGATTTTTAACCCTTAAAAGTGTTATATTTCAATATATATTATTTGCGTAAATTACAGACATTATTTATGCTGCTAAGATGTTATTTTTAAAGGCTGTATAACTTTTATCGCTTAATTCTAACCTGTTCCCATTATTGGACTAATGGCTCCAATGATGGACCCACTACGGCTCTTAGGTTTGGCCACTACTGACCCATTACCCATCGCATCGCCAGGACTCGTAGCGTTGTTGTTCTCGAACGCCACTGTTTTGGGCCCTTCAATCTTGACAGAAGCCCGCCTGCTCAAGTCTGCAAAATCCATCAAATTTATTAACTACGACTTTCTTAAAGCAAAGCGAATTTTCCTAAAACTAAGCTGTAACATATTTCTATTATCACGCCTGCCTGTTAATTATATACTTTTTCAGGTTTATTATAGGTTAATTCTTCGAGCAATCGAGGAGTTAACATCTGATGAGGCCGTCCACACGTGATGGCGAAACGTCGGGAACCTCTTCTCGCTCACATCGGCCGAACAGCCCGAAAGACAATTATATGCTGAACGATGGCCGTGAAAGCCTTTCACAGTTTATTGGTTCTTGACGAGCTCGTTGTCAATAATAGCAGGGTTCCTCTGGAAATATGCATATTAAATAGATAGTAGGAACATCGAAATTCCGCTCGCTATACCGACCACCGTCCACTGAGCACGTGAAGCTTAATCGCGTTTCGGCTTCACTCTGTGAAAAGAATAAAGCAAAAATAGGTCGGCACTACGTCTTGTTAAGATGTTATGTGGCTTTCATCTTCTTCGGGAAGAACTATTAATATATGCAATAGAATTTTAATAATATTTCCATATTTTGGTAATATTAGTCGTTCGTACCAGGATTTCTCATAGATTCAGCTCTCATGACTTTGACAACCTCTTGTTCGTTAAAACTGTGCTGCGAGGGTGCCGGACTAATGCTGTCGCGCGGTTTTGTCGGCGACACGTCCTGGTAAATCGAAGACACGATGCTAGCCTTTCTGTCTATAGTGCAGACGGACAGACGCCCGTTTTCAGATGATTTCTGAAACATTTTAGTAAAATTTTCTCTACAATTCTTCTTAAAATATTAACATATTTGAAAATAATAAAGAATAGAATACAATACTTCAATACTTCTCTAGGCACGGTTCAAGATACTGATTAAATAGTCCAAAACGAATTGACACAAAATACGCAACGATTAAATCGATCCAAACCGATTACCTACTTTTGGAAACGCAGTTATAACGCGACCGACCGCACGTAAATTATATTAAGTCTTAACAGGACTTAATAGGTTTACGACAAGAACCAGACCTGAGGCTACAAGACTATGTCCTACCACCAGAAATCTCCACCCGGACATTATTTCAAAATAATAAGTTGTCAATTTCCGTCTGTCATATATCAATGATAGTTTTTTAAAATGTCAATGCCATCAATATTGCATCGACCATACTCAAGTCACACGTGTTACTTGACGTTTCCACATTTAGGTGTATAACAATCTGGTTAGTGGATAAGGTAAATGTTTTATTTTACTATCGATCAACTATCAAGTATTATCAATCAACAGTTATCCGCATTAATCTATCTATACTAATATATAAAGCTGAAGAGTTTGTTTCTTTGTTTGAACGCGCTAATCCCAGGAACCCGTGGTTCGAATTGAAAAAATATTTTTGTGTTGGTTAGAGCATTTATCAAGAAAGGCTATAAAACATCGCGCCGTGATTAATAGAAGCAAAGATACAGCGGAAAATGTGAATAAAACGGGGGAAATTTTTCATCTCTGTAGGTTTCAGATGCGTATGCTGCGAAAACGGTTCAACGCCCAAAAAATATCTATAATAATAATAATTCTTCTTTAAATGATCTAAAAAAATGTCCGCGGCGCTATATCTCTTACTTTTGAGGTCAACTTGGAAGGAACCCCTTCTACCCCTTAGGCATTCCTTAAACGCCGGTCCTGATGATGAATACGAAGTTTGCAAAAACAAATTTGAATGCCCAAATAACTATTGTACGCGAACGAAGTCGCTGACACAGCTAGTATCTACATATGTATATGAAATATATTGCCTACATTACATCGATTTTATATATTTTGCAAGTACTTGGAACCCTTATCTATAAGCTATGTAAAAAAAACTTTTTCTGAATTAATTGCTTTAATGTTTGCAAATCTGCGTTCTTAAAGCTTAATTAATAATCCCTTTATGCAAATGAGTTATCTTTATAAATGCTGAAAAGTTTAATTAGAGGCAAAAATTCGCTTCGCCAAAGAGGTGGCCTAACTTTCACCTGAAGTAATAATGTCGTAGGATCGAATAAATTACGTTTTCGCTTCTTATTGAAGCCAATCTGATTCTATATAGAAATATGAGAAAAGATATCAAAGGGAGCAATTAATGCGAACACTTCAAAGTAATTTGTTATTTAACCGTTGAATTGTAAAAATATACTTTTAAAAGTAGTGATCTATGAAACAGACGATCGTTACTGTAAAAGTTTAATATCGACATTCAATAACGTTGAACTATTTTTTATTATTTCTGAAATATATCGTCTGGAAATCTGAGCTACCGTCGTGAACTAAAAAGCTGTCAAGTTACATCGCGTTCCGGTTTCAGTCTGTGGATTTCCGAATGTGTAAAGGAAAAAAAATCTATTGTAATAGATAAAAAAAATATAGCACATTGTCTATTTTAAAAATGGCAAAGAATATTTTACCAGAAAATCCTATCTTCGATAACAGCCTTCCTAATATCCATAATAACTAGTCATAAATATGATGCGTACAAGTTATCGAGTAAAATCAAGCGTACAATTGTATGAACCGATATGCATTGCCAATTTCCTGAGCTATTGGTTTCAGCCAGCCTTTGACGTTTGATATAGGGCATATTATTTCGTAGATACCCTCGTGTTTCTAGATCTAGACAAAATATCGTAGTTTACTAAGCACATCCCTTATACAATCTAATTAAGCTTAATGGGTACGGTTTTATGGTACGTCTTGCCTAGCATTGCGTTAAATGCGAGAGGTAGTGGGTTCGAATCCCGGGAAACAATAGATTGTTTCGGTCGGGCAGGGCATAAGTCTAATCAACTTGCCTTTAAAAGAAACCGATTAGTAAAACGAACACAGGAATGCGTTCGCCCAATTCCCCACGGGAAAATGTGATTTGTATCTTTAATTTTAACTTGCAAATTTGATTCATTCTTTTTTCTTGAAAAAATGTGTTGTGTTAATGACCTGGTCATTAACACAGCGTTTAACACAGTCATCACTTATAATGAAAAAATATTGCTATGAAAAATATGTGTACTACTATTTTCATTAAAACTTGTTGAATGTACAGAAGAATTTTGTTAAAACGAAAAAATCTCTAATGAATAAACGAACACTTTTAAAACTTCAAAAGCACACTTAAGAAATTACAATGTGGGATTTACTCCAATAGTCAGTATAAAGGTAAGATTACACCAGGGAAATTAAATTGCTAGTGTTGAATTTTATTTATATTTACGCCATACATTGTGTAGTGACTTGTAATATAGGTAGATATTATATTAGTTTAAATATTATACTTGTTTTAAATATTAAAAAAAAAAATAGTTCGTAATGAATAAATTGAGTAAGGCTTTCACGGCCATCGATCAGCATTCTCATCGATCAGGTTCTCGACGTTTCGCCATCACGTGTGGACGGCATCATCAGGAGATGTTGACTCCTCGATTGCTCGAAGAATATAATTTATCAATTAATAACTAACCTTACTTTTTTATATAGATAGAGTGAGCGCCGCGCCTTATTCTAGACATACAGTGATTAATGACATCTGAACAATGGCGCATTTAGTACTCGAATGAATTAGTGCGCTCGCGTTGATCTAGATGATAGATCTATTCTAATCGTGTCTATGATGGGAGCTTTTCAGAGGAAATGTAGTATGGAACGATAAATTGCTGCTATAATACGTTATTGATGGAAAACGCCACTACCTATATTTTATACGACCAGTTATTCGAATACGAGCTGTTTCCCTGACTTCGTTTGCCTAAAGTAATTATTTTGTTCTTCTTTCCTAGTTTTACTAGTGACTCAGTTTCTTCATTCCTATTAGTCAAAATATTATGTTTTATAGCTTAAAATCTCTATCGAGGAATAAATGCTTTAACCAACACCAAACGATTTTTTTTTAAATTTTAATCAATAGTTTCTAATATCAATAAACAAAGTCTTCATCTTCATATTATAAGTATATAATATATAAACGATGAAAAATCCTTATTAAAGTGTGAAAAATAGACATTTTGAACATCAAAACAATCGACCTAAGGCGATCGCGCTTTCTGAATTTTTTTCGAAATATTTTTTAACTAGTATATTATATATAACGCGTTTAATGCCGTTAAACGTTTTTATTTATGCTAAAGTATTCATACATTATTAAAAATTATATCATACAAAAGCCATACTAATCAATATTATTTCACTTCCTACTTAGTTAAGATCTTGCTCTAACTTATATCTTAAGTTATAAAAGCAAAGTCAGTTCGAAGTTCCAGTCCAGATCACCGGCAATACTGATTGAATTTGGAAAATACTTCAAGATGTCGCAAAATAAGTTAGGCATTGCAACTTACCTTTGGCGGAACAATCAAGTATGTTTCCACTTTATGATCAGCAAGATACCCTTCTCTGGAAGCACCGTCCCCTGGCTCCACCTCAAACTTGCCTGCGAGCTGCAGCATGGTGGCCTTCGTAATGTGGACACGACTGTAATAAGGGATTACTACAGTCATTCCAAATAGTATATGCAAAACTAACATGGCCTAATTGTAATAATTTTTAAAACGCAATTTTCTCTTTAACTATATTTTTTGGTAAAGTAATTTGTACAGACTACTAGATGTAAAATGGCGGTTCGCATTTTATAGTATATTTATGCACGTAGCTTTAAAATGGAAATGCATTGAGGTATGAAAGTGGATTTAGCAACTCTTCAGATGTTACAAAAACCCTGACTGCTTTTAGCAGGACATTCCAAGTTTTAAAGACCCAAGTTATGAGTGAAATGTCAGAAGTACAAAACTTTGCGTTACTTGAAAACTTTGGAAGTTTCACGGTTCTTGTAACTAATGAACATTGGTATTTCGTTTTACCCTGAAATTCGTAAGCAGGTTGTATTTTTATATTAAGATTTTATTTACTATATACATATGCTGAAGACGAAGGGTTTCCCTAAAGTTAAAGAACTTAGTAGTTGAGACATATATCTCAAAAGATTTATTTTAAATAGAGAGGAATGAACAATTTCTAAGTATATTTCGAATTGCTCCTTAGGTTAATGAATTCACAAAAATGTATTAGTTTATAAGACATGTTTAAAAAAAGCCGGACTGAGTTTCTTGGGCGTTCTTCTCGGTCATGTTTCTCTTTGGAACACACTTTGGAACACTCTTTGGTAGATTTGAGTACTGGAATATAGAGACTTACCCAGCGATCCCCCCAGATTCCATATGGTTAGCGAGCGTAACGTCATCACTCCAGACATCGAACTGCCACTTGCGGAGGCCGAGCACACCACACAGCACGTTGCCAGTGTGTATCCCGATTCGCATATCCACATTAAAGCCAGTCGCTTCTCGGACGAAACTGATAAAAAATAATATTATGAATAGACGTATACGTTTATAAAGGCAGACTACCTAAAAAATTAATTAAGGTAAAACTACTACCCGACGTTTCAGATGCTTCGACAGCAGACATGTCGCGGGTAACTAATGACTATATATTAAAATATTTCGCACTTTGAACCGTTAAAAGTTTAAAGTATTGTATTTCAATGATTATGACGTTGATGTGTTAATGGTGGTACAGATAAGAAGCCGTGAAATTTAATCACGTTTCGGTTTTACTCTGTGGATTTCCGAATTTCCGATTATCCAAAATAATTGGGCAGCGAATCTTGATGTGATATAATATGGCTGGGATATTTCATCTATCATCAAGTGCTTGTTTGCTCTCTTCTACGATAAAAAAAAATCCCGACAAGACCAGGAAGAGAAGTAGAATGTCCAGTGAAACGGCCTCAAAAGTATACCTTCCATTACACATGCATTATTAAAATAGTCTCACCGTATAGCGTCTATCATCTGCAAGCCCATGTTGACACAATTGTAAGCGTGGTTCGGCCTGGAAACAGGTAGTCCAGAAACGCAGTAGTAGCAATCTCCTAAGATTTTTATTCGCATACACTGATTTTCCTGTGAGAAACACAAAGTCAAAGTCACAAATCATTCACGTAGGTAACTTGTTACACGTATGAACTTACGCCAGTTCAAAACGACACACTTAAAATTTACATTTTATACCAGTTCTCAAATCAAGGGCGTACAACGAGCGAGAAGAGCTGGCAACAAACTCGCTCCCACACACTCCTTTTATCGCCGATTTTCATTTTACTTTAAGTGCAGTTTACATTTTAGGTACTTTCAAACCCCAAGCATTTTTATGTTATTAAATATTGATAAATTACATAGGTATAAACTATATTTTCCCTGAATTTGAAAGTTACTTTGGGTGGAGATATATTTTGTCGTGCTCATTAATATCCAAACTAATACTTGTGGCCTTGTATTTTTCATGTATCTTGTAGTAAATACGAAAGTCATCCGAAGTAACGGATATAGTGAACAAAATCGTTAGGTTGGGCTCACCATATCTTTCTAAGTGAAGATGGTCATTGGAGCCGACATTGCACTAAAATGGAGACCGCGATTAGAAAAAAGACAAAGTAGGAAGAATCATCATTCAACATTCTTTTGGTCATCAATCAATCAATCAATGTAATGTATGAAATGAACGAATAATAACTCAGGAGAGGGCCAAATGGCTTGCTTCGGGACAAGCCTACGTCCAGCTGGTGACGCAAGGACTTATGATGATGATTAAAATGTATACTATTATATAAACCTGAAGAGTTTGTTTAATTGTTTGTATAACCGCGCTAATCTCAGGAACTACTAGTGGAAATTAAACAATCTTTTTTGTGTTGGTTAGAGAATTTATCAAGGAAGGTTATAATAGGCTATAACAACGCCCTGTGACTAATACAAGTGAAAGACTATAAAACATCCCGCTACTAAACTAAAGAGATGTTTGTAAAAACAAATTTTGATGGCCAAAATAACTATTCTACGCGTAAGAAGTCAATGACACAGCTAATAAATAATAAATAGAATCTGTTGTAAAGTCTGCTATGGCTTGTTTTGCGCTAAAAACACCTAAATTCAAGGGCCATCTACACGAGGGCACCCTCAAGGATATTGGAATTAAACACTCCTTAAGTTTGCACGAGTTATTCGTACCGCGAAAAATTCCTGACGTATTCCTATCAGTAGGAACTTCTATTCAACAGAAAAGTGCCTGTCAGGAACAAAAGGTGTCTATCAGACAGTGCGACAGAGCTCATGATTCGAGATAAGTATTGAAGCAGTACAAACTTCGAGTACAAAACAGAATACAATTGAAATAAATAATCATGCTTGCATTCGGATATCAAGTATCCAAATGAACGTTTTACATTGACCTTAAAATACATACACATATTTACAATCCCTCCGTGGTCACGGGGAGACGTCGGGCCGAAGTTAAAAATCATTTCTAAATAAGTTTTACTAATATATCGCGTTTTAAACCGTTAAAGTGTTTTATTTAAATGCGTACTACTCGCGTAAATAATAGACAGTATTTAATCCCTCCTTAATTCAAATAGTATGCTTTACTCTTCCTTAATTGATAGAAGCTATATATATTTATATATTTTGCTAAAGCTAGACAAAAAGTTTTACGTAGTATATTCAGTTAGAAAATCCATACTTTAAATGTTAAGACCATATAGAAATATTGATTACACGGCCGGGAATTGACTTTTGCAGCTCACAGTAGCTTATTTGGTTATAGCAGCCCCGATCACCGTGTATGCCGGGTCAAGTTCCGCTAGTGTCATCGAATTTTTGTACTTCCTTACCTGACCTACACACGTTTTAAATTTATATAATGCCATCATGTACAAAACATGTCAAAAATGATTTCTCTTTTTACATTTATTATCTGGTTATTTATTCTATTTTAGATAACTTTTATTTTCTAGTAAAAACTTAACAAGCGATAAAAGTTTTATTGCACCTCTATACTTAATTACTCTGTGGGGCATGTACAACAAAGAGCCATTGTGTCGCTAAATGAAAATTGATAGCCATCTAGGTGTTCTATTAAGTACATTCCATTTAATTGCTCCCTAATCACAATTTATAGAATTGCATTTTATTGCGCCTGTTGAATAATTTAAGGCAATTTATCGTTACGTAGAAATTGCGTGTACATTATTGTTATAGGTAAGTTTTAATTTTAAAGAAGACAAAATAATTTAAATCAAACACTTTAACGGTTTAGAACGCGATATGTTAGTTAAACTTTGCAGCAGCCGTGGTCACGGGGAGACTGTCTCCCCGTGACCACGGCTGCCGCAAGGCATCAAAAGTCAAGGCATTAAAAATCATTTTCAAAAAAGTTTAACTAAATCGCGTTTTAAACCGTTAAAGTGTTTTATTTAAATTTTAAACAAGAGAATATTTATACAAACGTAGTAGTACTCAGACGTAACAATTTGGAGCCTTTTCTACAAAAAATCTAAAAAGTGACTACAGGAATGATTTATTTTGTCTCTGACTATACCTATTAAAAAAAAAAATACCATTCGGTTAAAAAAATATTTACATCTATTTACCACGATATAAAATAGTTGTGTGAAAATTATCCGAAAAAGTCTTAACTAGAGTTTATTATATATACAATACTAGTTATATAAACTAGTTCATTCGCCATTATTTTGAACAAGACAGCTAAGTTTCAGCAATTACCTAGAATATTATACAGTCCGTTTTCGCCTAAAGCCAGCAGCCATACCTAAGTTAAGTTTAGTTTGCCTAACTGCATGCATTGTCTAATAATGGTGTTTCTTAATATATAACAAACAAACAAGTAAGTACGTCACAATGTTAATGGAAAGATATTTTGAGAAATTAGAATTATTTAAATATGTATAAATCTTATATATTTTAAAAATAATGAAATTATTTTACGTCATATGGTTTTATTAATTATTTTTTGGGTACAACATAGTTTAGTGTCAGCGACATTATTCTTGCGGAATAGTTAAAGAAAATAATATTATTAATTATTTTTACAAACAACACAGCACATTAACAGCGATTATAGATGTCGCACGTCTAAACAAATAAACTTTGCCTGTTAGGTAACTTCGACTGTTGTAGCTATTGTACCTGTGCTATTTGATCGAATCTTCCGAAGAGCTCGTTCAAGGTCTTCACCAGGTCAGAGGCGCTGAGTCGCTCCGACAGTGGTGTGAAGTTGACGATATCTGCGTAAAGAATGCTGACGTTGTTATGCCTTTGCACGTGCATTTCGTGGAAGCGGGTCTGCTTGCTACTATCTGCGCAGGCGTCTGCCATTTTGAGCATTATAGATCGCTTCACCTGTAACAAACTTTATTTATGTAGCTAAGTATACTTAGGAACGTTATTACAAGAACTTAACTAAGCTTAACTGCATTATCGAGCATTTGGATTGTAATTGCAACCTTATTCCGTTATAATTAAGGTTGTAATTAGATTGCATGAGTGCAAGTACAAATACTTTGAAATAATTCAACGATGACCTATAGGACTTAGTAGAACAAGTGGTTAGAGCAACAGCACCGAACGTAGTGCGGTTCAAGTCCCACCCGTGTCGTAATTCTCAAATCTAAGTAGATTTTTAATTTGCTTTAACGAGGACTAATTAGTGATGGTGGACCTACCAAAATCCAAGTTGGTACTAAAAATTCTCATTATGTATTCATTGATAATGAGTATGAGTAATTCGATACCGGGATTCGAAGCCGGTACTTCATGATATGTAGTGAAGTATACACTAGTGACTAGACCAACGAAGCTTTATATATTAACTTCTTCATAGTCAGAAAAGCTCTTAAGCAATTTTTCTTTAATCAGTTTTCAACTTAGGTAATCCAAGTCTTTTTATAAAACTTTTATAATAATCCTCAAGACATTCAATTTAATCCAACCAATACAGAATATTATGAATATAACTTTTAAGAACGAACACAATTTCATAATAATGAAAGCTTGGCTTGTCGCGGACAAACTTTTTATATTAAAACCGAGAATTTAATAGACGTGCCGGATAAGATGGATTTCCAGTGTCCGATTGAGTTAAAGTATTAAGGAAGGACGACGTCGTTTTGTTTCAAGATTATGACGCAAGATAAGTGAAATAAATTACAGATTTACCTCAACGTAAACTTAACAAGGGTGTTTTTATTAGTTGCATTAAAAACAGATAGATGTTACAAACGGACACATTTCTGTGTACATTTCACACATTTCCATGACGTAAGTGGAATCAGCATTTGATAAACATACATTCACGGTCAAACGACGTTGTTTTGTAGGTTTCATCTCGACTGTGTCATTATTTTTTTTAATTTCCTAGGATTATTTTACGTCTATCGTAAGAGGCGACAAAAAGGAAAGTAAACAGCGGTCACAACTTTTCACACGTTTACACATGAATTCATTATATATTAAAAATCAATTTTAGACTAAAAAATGTAATCCCAAACCCGACTCCGGAGACACGATCGCTCGATTGGTTAAAGCAACAGCATGGAACGCTGTGTATGCCGAATTGATTTTTAACTTATAAGACAGTGGTCTTTGGCGATCCTCTACACCCTACTTCGCTCGCGAGATCGCGTACAAAGCCAGGAGAGTATTACCATTCTACCTTCTTTGGGGAAGTTCTTTGTCCAGTTATGGACCCTGAACAGGTGAAACTATAATATTTCCCCGTCTCTCCGACTCATTTTAATTGTTGGCGGACATAAGTAAATATCAATTCTGAATCTATTTTTAAATCAAGCGAACAAATGACTCGATAAACGTTATCAGAACGCGATAAAATCAATGAACCGTAGACATCCAAGTGAGATAATTGCTTCTCCATCGTCCAAGTACTCTTATCGAGCAAGGAAAACAGTATTGGATTCTAGAAGTGCTTCATTTGATTAAAAATATTTCAAGGGAATGCCTACGGAATTCAGCGATACATTTATATACGTCTGTAGCTTTTATATGTTTAAATTGTGTAATAAGTAATAATAGAACTTCTATAGAGAGTTATATTATGTAAGTGACAATAACCTTCGCATACCTGCATAGACATAATTACAGTCCTTTATAGGTCAGCCAAATTTACTTAGCTATTATTTTATTATAACACTAAATTTATATGTGTTGTAATCGACAAGTTAATACATCAAGCAGCAATTTTTAACATTACCTACGTAATTTAGAGGCCGGTGGTCTATTGTTAGCAATATGTGACTAATAATCTACAGGTCTTGAGTTCGATTTCAGTTCCAACATGTTTCGTCTAAAAATATGTACATTCAATAAAAAAGTTTCAAATCACAAACCACCGTCCTTAGATAGAAAAGTCGTGAAGTATAATCGCGTTTCGATTTTAGTCTGTGGATTATGTGAATGTCTAAAGGCAAAATAGATTACCGGCGAATTGTCTTTGATGTTATATGTATATCCTTACCACTAAGTTGGTTCTGTGTCATAAAGAAGGTATATTGATCATCTAAATAATGTATGATAAGCTAACTCAAAAATAATCTCTAGTAAACATAATATCTAGATTAGTTATAACGTTAATGAACCTGGTATTATGTAAGACATACTTATTATGTGCCATTAAAATAATTACCAATATTAAGTGGGAGTTAGACCCTAATTAGATTCTTCCTTGCAGGAGAAATGTGTTAGTCATTCGGTCGTTATGGCTAATGAAATGATTCAATTTGTATTTCATTGTGATTCATATTTCTCAGAAGTTAAAACTGAAATTTTTAACACAGCAATCTGTGCAAAAATGTTCTTTCTAATGCTCGAACAACAGTGTCAATACATTTTCTTTATATATACTTAAATTATTTAAATGAAATATTTCATATTAAGAAACATATTTAAATTAAACACTTTAACGGTTTGAATCGCGAAACATATAAGTTAAGCTTATCAGCCGAAAGTAGAAGAACTCATTTTAAAATTATTTCAACTACGGTCCGACCTTTGTGTCTCCCCGTGACTGCGGCTGTTGCAAAACATCCGAAAATACTCGCGTTAACTATAGACAGTCTAAAACCATTTTACCGGTCTAAAACGCGAAATATGTAAGTTAAACTCATACGCCGAAATGTCTGGCAGTTGTTTAAGAAATGTAAATAAGTTTACCTAATACATTTCGTGAATTTAGTTTTTCCTTAACATTCGAAACCAAGACCACGCGTACTTAACGCAGTGTCACCAATACGTTTAACCATTAAGAAGTTAAGAAATCAAATAATTAATATATGCAAAAAAAACATTGTATTTATAATTCTTTCTTAAGCTAGGTAATAATGCAATTTGTCTCACAGCCCCCCGTGACCTCACGACTGTTGCAAAGCATCCGAAACGACAGGCCGTAGTTAAAATATATTGTAAAAAGTTACCTTATACAGTTCAAAACGCGAAATAAGGTGTTTTAAACCGTTTATAAGTGTTTAATTTACATTTATCTCACATATTTAACCTTGCGTTTCTGAATAATGTTAAAGCCTTACACATTTACAATCTTCAACGCGTAACTTTTGCCTAATACTAGCTGTTAAGAACTCGAATTATAATTGCGATAAGGCTGAAGATAAGGAACAAACGAATTATGTAGGTCATTGATATGTTATCAGTGCGAAACGAGACAATTTATCAGCTAATTTGGGTCAACGACTTTCGGTAATCATTCATCTATTTAAATTACAATTGTTTACAAAATATATTGTAGACATCGGCAGTCACATTAATATAAAGTCGCTATGAGTTGGCACATAAAAGAAAATAGTTTTAAATTTAGATGGTAAAAGCTTTTGTAAGAAATTATTAAAATGTAACTTTTAACGGCTTAAAACCCAAGGTATTTACGAGCCGAAATTACGCCATGAATTACTGGGGGACCCAGCTGTTTTAAATCTAATAAACATATTTTATTTACATGGGTACTCAAGTAAACTACAAAGTATACCTTGTTAATGTTAATTAATTTCAGTGCAAAGCATGTTTAAAAGAAACATTTGTTAACAATTGTAAAAATCGTGGCTGTACAACTTATTATATATTTTATATTACATATATGATAAGCCATATAAGTTTTATTTCTTAAGTGTACAAAGAGGCTTTACATGTTATTTTAAACTTTTGTCAATGAAAACAGAAAATAAAGTAAAGTTACGCTTTGACGGCCCTTTATCGGCACATCTATCTAAATGGACACCCTGTAAATCCGTTTTAAGTATTTAATACACAAATAAGGAATAATACGGAAGGCTGAAGGATTATCGCTATCTTTGCAGCTGAAACTCCTTTATTAGTTCTCCAACGGGATAATCTTATCGAGTTAGCGGTGAGATTAATGATAAAAATGCCTTAGATAATACCATAACACAAAACAAGGATTATACAGAAAGAGATTTGGCTAAAACTAGATTGCATTGTGAATGAAATATTCCAAGAATCGTTAATGTTGAAGAGAAATTGCCTGTTATTCATTGTGCTATGCAAATATTTTATGATGTTAAAATGTATCGAATTACAGAGATTTGATAAATTTAAATAAAACACTTTTAGGATAAGAACATGCAAAATATATTAGGTACTTATAATTTTTTTACATTGTTACAAATTATTTATACTAAGGCCGCCGCCAATTGCAATTTGTAAATAAGTTTAAGTAATATATTTCGCGTTTTAAATTGTTAAAATTTTTAATGTGTAGTACTTGCGTAAACTACAGACAAGTATCATGCCTCTAATAAGTATTTTAAAAAACAGTATTTTACTGTTGTCTCATTAGTTACTTTTTCAGCTGACGGAACTCGAGCCCACGGTGTGCGATTTACAGCTTTGCTTTGCCATATGGGCTACCAGTAAGTATTCTTTTTTTGAAATAACATCCTTTAGCACAATTGTTTTTAATATTAGACTTTAAACTACTTTCTAAATGTTTAGTTGTTCAGCTGTTTGTAACATCTAATTACAGAAGCTAATGATTCAGTGAAAAATAAAGCATGTTATGAATATGTAGAATGCGTTAATGTCAGCGAGAGTTCTAATTGTATGTACTTAGGCATGCAGAATGCAATATTAGGTCAATTATAGAGAAATGCCAAGAATGCTCCAATGCCCAATTATTATAGTCAAACTCGATACAAACAGGTGTTTGACCGCTCCGGACAATTACTAGACGCATTGCGTTTAGCGCAAAGGAATCTCTCTTTTTATTAAGCTTGTCAGAAAATAAGATGAAATATTATATAGCAAAGGCATATTTCTTTCTACAAAGAAAGACAGAAATTCTACAAAATAAAGTTAAAATTATGATATCAGTGTATTATTGAACTTTCCATTTACGACCAAACCATACCTTACAGTGGTGTTGCTCTATCATTTATCGTAAACATAATTTCTTTTTTTAAACAAAAACAAATTTTGAAGTAAACTCTCATGCGCAATTGATTTTAATATTACATAGAACACTTTTAACACGCGGGAGTCGTATATCCTTTATCGACTGGGCCCCCTATGACCCGTCACACAGAACTTACAATTAAATTTAAAATAAGTTATCTAGTGTATTTTGCATAAAAAAACATATCCACAAGTGATCTATAAAAACCATATTTTAAAAAAGTATGATTACATAACAATAAACAAAATAATAAATACTTAAATGACGTTCCTTCAGTTAACCTTAATTTATTTTATCTAAATACAATTAAAAACAAATGTCACCAACGATGCGTATAAATACTGCATTTTAATTATAATTACAACAATTACGGGAAATAATTACCCTTTGTCACGTAAAGAAATATTATGACGTCAGCGTCGCGGATATAATTGTAAAATTTCTAGCGTAGATTCGATTTATTCCAGTTTTATATTCTCCTTACATGTAGACATGGGCCTTGGCCAAGTTGACAAATACACACTGAATATTATAAAGCCGTGTTTGTTTGAACGTGGTGATCTCAGGAACTACTGGTTATAATGCAAAAAATATTTTGATGTCGCATCGGCCAATTTTTGTAGTAGGCTTCAAATACTGTCTATAGTTTACGCGAGTAGTGCACATTTAAATAAAACACTTTAACGGTTTAAAACGCGATATATTAGTAGGCTTTAGGCTATATAACATCACACTGCGGCCAATAGGAGCTAAGAAATAGTGTTAAGTGTAGAAAACATGAGGATTTTTTAGTACTTCCGTCGCGTGCTCTGCGAAAACGGTCGAAGAAACCAAATATATATTAAAGAATAATTCCTCATTAAAGTGTCATGTACAGTTAGCTGCGATTGGACATAGGCGATCGACAGAATATAGTTGCCAGAGGTCTTTAGAACTGTTTAAGAAATCTTTATAAGCTACGAAACATTTCACAGCGATTATTTTATTTTCGTTGAAAATAATGAAATTAATTCAACTTCTTAGTGTATAACTTTCTAATCTACTTCAAAGTTTCTTTTAAGATGTTTAAAAGTTAATCTATATCATATAATGTACATTATGCGCGTTATATAATAATCTCTTGTTTTCCTTTGCTTAATTCTTATGATTTTTAGAATCTTACCTACTACTTTATACCTACCGCTTTGGGTATATTGCAGTCACGTCGTCTTTAAAATTCAAATCAAGATTTATAATTTAGAATAGAAGCAATTATTTTTGGAAAACACTCGCATGATTTGTAAGAATTATTTATTAAGGTTTTTGGATTTTTCATTTTGTTATTTATCATGCTTTAAGATGTCTGCTTTAACTATTGTCTGTAATTTATAAGAGTAGTTCACATATCAACGGTTTAAACCCGAAATATATTAGTTAAATTATTTACTAGGGATACTTTCAGACGGGCGTTCGAAACATCGGGCCGAAGTTAATATTCAACTTATATATTTCGCGTTTTAAATCGTTATAAGTAATTTATTTAAATGCTTTGTTGAAGGTAATATTATATGATATGCCGTTGTAAGAACAACAACGAAACCTCATTATCTTATAATCCAAAAAGTATACATGTATTTGTAAAATATATAACTGCAACGAATTTTTATAAGATGTCATCATCTTTATCTCGATGCGGGGTCTACTGAACGTTTGATGCTCTGTATAATCCGATAAGAAGTCCTTTAAGATATCATAACGTTATCTATAACCGGGAACGTATTCCCTTAGAGGGTGAAAATCACTTTCAATCAGGTGAGTCGTTTGCCCTGCATAGCACAAATATGAATATATATTTTAAACAAAAAAAAAAAGCTGGGTATACATTACAGTTGCAAACAGCACTACCCGTGATTCTATTTTTATTTGCTTTTGCGCAATGTGTGACTTATTGCGCAGCTTTGCATCAAACTTTTATTACGGCAAAAGAGATTTATTATCGTTGTTAGGAAATATTACACACGCGGTAGTTATAAAGGGAAATGAAAAACGTATCGTTTATTCACCTTAATTGGCGCAATTATAAATCAATCTTTGCCCTATTGATAAAGCAAGGACATTAAAAAAAAATTAATATCTATTGATAGAAACAAAAGTATTTATAAAATAACCGGAGACTTTTATATATATATATATATATGATATTATGCATTTTAAGAAAGCTAACGATTCTAAAGGAAAAACTTATTTTATTTATACAATCGTAATTGTTAATCACATACGTATTTACAGATATTGAAAAACCACTTTTTGTCTCTGACGAAACGCATTTGAAAGTGTTATTTGGTTTGAAGTTTCTATTTGCTTCGTGGTCTCCACAAATTGTTTTACAAACATAAATTTAAAAACCTTTTTGTTCTAGCGCAGTTGCTTAGTTTGCATCTTTAATTGCGGAAGTCTAACCTATTTGAGATTTGGCCAATTTAACATAGAGACAATCAAGCGATGGTTACCAATTGTGAAATTTACACTTTCAAATTTTGCAGGAAGCCATTTAGCGAACCTTGACTTTCAATTTGTTAAATATATCTCAACGATTATTCAACCAGAGAATTATTTAACCATGAATAGAAAAATATTTGACATTGATTAATTTAAGACAAGATCTGCGTTCTTAGTTCCCGGTAAAAAATATAAGTAAATCCAATTATTTATCGGACTAAAATCAATCATAATAATTGTTTACAAATATCTCTAATCTACTTCAAACATCATTATCAAAAACACAACGACCAAAGTGGCTCAGTGTGTATCTACTTATTGATGTCAGTAATCTGGGTTTACGATAACACCGTTTCCCTCTACGTATGAATGATTCATCTATGCGCCCGCGTTGGGAGTCGTAGCGAACCAACACAAGCGTTCGACGCGTCGTACATTACGCACGTACACGCTCAAGAATTGAGGTCCCGCGCCTTGAGTTACTCCAAACTTTCCGATTATGAAACTGAGTGAGTGATAAAAGTGAATATTAGTGAACTGTGTTGAGTGAATCGAGCAATATGTTTCCGAGAATACAAGGATTGGTGAGTGTACTTAATGTTATATATTCGATATTACTTCGTAAAATAACTAAGATTATTTAACATTTAAATTAATGCAATGCACTGAATAATTAATTACAGAAAGGTTGAATTATTATCGTTTACTTTATCGTATCCACTGGCTCACCTTGTTTATACAGCCTTAAACTTAAAAGTTGCCTAAGTGAAAAAATCCCAAGCGGCAACCAAGGCTACTAGTCTATTTTGGAAATAGTCAATGAATTTTATGTAATTTCGAATTAATATAATTTAATAAATATTATGAGGTCATTAACTTAAGTAACCTGATTAGCAAACGTTTTATAGTCTGTAACCTAGAAAACGGAATGCGGTATACAATTTTAATCTGCCTTACATGAAGTATGATTGATTAGTTTACTCTAATTAAATATTATCGTCACGTAGTTCACTTTCTATTGGCTTTCCTGCTCTAAATATTTCTTTAAGTATGCGAGGTTGACGCTTTGATGCTTACGAATTATTTCTAGGATAAGAAAGTTGGCTTTAGTATATTTAAATCCTTACTAATATTATAAATGCGAAAATAACTCTGTCTGTCTGTTACTCTTTCACGCTAAAACTACTGAACGGATTTGAATGAAATGTGGTACACAGATGGTCTAGACCCTGGGAAAGAACATAGGCTTTTTATTGCAGAAAAGGGGGTTGTAAGGGGTTAAAGGAAGGGGGGGGGGTAAAAGTAATTAAATATTCTACCCCAAGTCACTATTCCACGCGGGCGAAGTCGCGGACACAGCTAGTAACTTTATAAAATATTTCTTCCTTAGGGATCCTATTATTGTATTTTTTCCAACTTTTACAAAAATGATTTCTCTCTTATGTGTGTCATAGAATGACACAAGAATTCGACGACAAGTATTACGCATTGTACCTGATTTTAAAATTCAAAGAAGATGACCATCTTTACAAGAACTGTCCATTGTATAACGTCAAACACTCTTACCCAAATCGTAACATAATACAGTTATCTCAATTCTTAGAACGTAAGGTGACGAATACAAAACTAACAGAACTTCGCAGAATCGCACACTCAATATGGTGCCTTATTTTAACTTAAATTTAAAGATGGTTTACGGACACCTCTATTCTTAATGCCTACTTAAGATTATTATACGTCGTAAAACAATTGGGTAAATATTATAATAATTAATTCTAACAAATCTTTAACCTACTTATTTGAATAGAAAACGTGGTTATTAAAAGCATCCAATTAAATAATAGAAGATTAGGTTTTCGTGGAATTAAGATTAATAATTTAAATAAGCTTAGTGGTTTCAGTCTTAATATGATATAATTTTAGTCCAGTGAATTTGTCTCGGCAAAAATATTTTAAACAAAGTATTTACAATTAAATCTTAAATTATGTAACCTAAATGCCATGCAATGACATAATAAAACATGCTGAAAAATTCATGCTCAAAAGTTCATGGCTTTTACAATTTTACTTGTCAAAGGCCAGTAGGACGCTTGCAATAAAATTTTGCTTAGCTATTTATTTATTTAATATTTACATATATGCTATCGTACCTATTGAACGCATGAAATTTTTTCATTAAATATTAATTTCTTCAAAACAAATGAATATTGCGTCTAACAAGTTTGTTTTAGCGAAAAATATGTTAGCCGAGTTAATTAAAATTATGGAGCGTGGGGCGATAAAAAATATATGCAAGCGGTAAATGAGTTTTAAATAATCTTGAAGTACAAACACAGGTTTAATTAAAACCAATATTACCTCATCAAACAAATTCATTTCTAAAAAAGCAAACAGGTATAGAGTCTATATGGATAAAAATCACAGTGTTTATATTTTCAAGCTCCGTAGACGATTTAGATTTTTTTTGTTTAACATTTAAAACAATTACTGTCTGCGTTCCACAAAAACAATGACATCAATGTTATAAATACACAGATAAGCAATGTGAAATGCAAATTAAAATAAATGTATATTTTTGTCTTCATATAACCTGTTTATGTTTGCAGTGTTTTATTCAAATGTTATGTTTCACATTGCAATGAGATATTACTCTCGTAAAGGATTTTTCCGACCGGTGAAAACTTGCAAACAGCGTTTTAGATTAAGATTATAATAAGACATATTTAAGTATATTGAGACCACTAAAAAATATAATATTCTAAAGAAGCCAATAAAAGATACTACTAGTAGTTATTGAAATGTGGACAGTGGCGTAACGAAATATCAGCTTGCAATTCTACAAACGTTTCAGTTTTATTAGTAAAATATCCAAGCAAAAGGTGTTTTAAAATATATCCTAAAGGCAGATTATTACTCACACATAAATAAACGTACACGGATGTCACTGTATGTTAAAAGTGTAATAATATAAGCATAGCAGTCACATGAACGTTTCTCGTATTTCCTGCAACGCAAACAAATTACACTTAAATTAAAAATGATGGCATGTCTTTATTTACATCTTATTTTCAAGATTAAATTGATGGTATGGGTATGTTATATTAAATATTTAAAAAGTGCCAAACGAAACATCGTCATGGTGTGTATTTACTGTCATTTTAGGAAAATAATATAAAGTAAGTTTTTAACAATCTTTAAAATTATAAATTGAGTAAGGCTTTCACGGCCATCGATCAGCATATTATTGTTTTTCGGGCTGTTCGGCCGATGTGAGCGAGAAGAGGTTCTCGACGTTTCGCCATCACGTGTGGACGGCATTTTCAGGAGATGTTGACTCCTCGATTGCTCGAAGAATTGGGACGTCGAGAACCTCTTCTCGCTCACATCGGCCGAACAGCCCGAAAAACAATAATATGCTCTAAAATTATTTTTAAACATCGCGTTTTAAATCGTTAAAAAGGTTTTTCTAATCTCACATTAACTACTGACACTATCTAAATATATTACTTAAATAGCGCTATTGATTTGGACACTCTCCAAATAAGTTCTTTAAAATAAGGCAAAATCTTTTGTCAGTTAGCTCTAGCCATAATTTGAAAACACCCAACGGGCTTTCATATTAAAATTTCTGTTTGCTATCATACGTCAAACTTACAGGTTGTAACGGAACAACTTCCAGTACTGCATCCAAATTTAATTCCACGTACTGTCGAAATCCATTGTCTGAATAGCGACCATGACCTACAGTGCAAGGAGCGCGAATTATTTAAACATTAAAGGTCCGTTTGTTTCTCAACACAAATTCTATGCTAATGAACTATTAGACAGGTCAACGGGAGTCAAAATTTGTAACAATGAAATACTTAGCATTAAACAATGGTCTTCATTAAGTAAAATTAATAGAGCGGTATTAGTATAATCATGAATAATAGCTTAAACTTAATAAATACTTTAAATACAAGGAATTTATTAATGCTTAATTAAAGTACTGTAAATTTGACAGGTTCGTTGGTCTAATGGTAGCAATGCATGGCTAATGATCATCCGGTCGTGAATTCGATCCTCACCAGGTCCAACATTTTTCAAATTTTTCAATTTATAATTTCTCTGAAACAAGCTGGAAATCTGGATATTACCGTCCACACTCCACAGATGAATAAACCGTGAAGTTAAACCAAAATGGTTGACAACGCATCATGTTTAGATGCTGTAGGCTGGGGTATATCACTTAGAATGAACTTAACTTCTTCTTCTTTTTTATTTTAGGCATTGTAATGTTTATGCTAATCAATCATAAATAGAAGTTAAATAAGATAACGAAATTATTAGTAATTTTCAATTTATCTCACGAAATGTTGAATAATTAAATCCAGACCAATATATTGATTTCGATAATGCCAATATAAGGATTATTCACGTGACTCAATAAAAAGATAAAACGAATGACAGGTCTAGAACTAATCGCGCAATTGTCGTAATAAAAGCACATGATGGGAAGTCACGAGTGTTTGACGTAAAACAATAGTATTGTTGATTTCGTTAAGTTACGATTAAGTAATAATATAAATTTTGTTTCAACGAACTCGTTGCTCCAATGGTAACAATGTATGGCTATCACCGGACCGTGGGTTTTGATCTCCACCGGGTCAAACATGTTTCTTAACATTTTAATAAAACAATTTAACGGTTTAAAACGCGATATATTAGTTAAACTTATTTCAAAATTATTTTTAAGTAATATATCGCGTTTTAAACCGTTAAAGTGTTTTATTTAAATGTGTACTACTCGCGTAAACTATAGACAGTATGTTTCTTAACGATCTATATTTTTTCTGAAACTTCGTCTGGTTATCTGCATATTACATGAACGAATATCAAAATGAAATCTGCGGACCACCAATCATAAGCGAAAAAAACACTGTAAAAACTACAAAAAATTTTAAGGTCATTTAACGGTTTGAGTTCATAGATCTAATGTCTAATGTTTCCGATCTTTTGTTTGTCAATGTATTAACTAGGAAATTTATTTTTTTTGCATAACCATTGTTTTCTTATGACATAGGAAACGTGACTGTGCCCTATGTTCATTTTATTTTTACCTGCGGCGCACGTGTTCAAATCTGTGACTCTTTTTTGTTCACTGTTTGTATAGACATTTCTTGTTTTTCATACGATATCAAGAAAATATTATTAAATTCGTTTTCTCATAGTCACGTAACCTCGATCTTTAACCTTTACAAGGATTTTTGATTTTGTCCGAGGTCAGTGACCTCTGAATAATTTAATGGCTCAAATAGATGGCTCAGATAGATGGCTTCTGAATAAGATCAAATTATTTAAAAAAGTCGTTCACTATTTTCAAATGGGTAAGCTTCAAGTTTTCCGAAAAAAGTTTTTAATACAATCTCAAGAAATAACAAAAAAAATCTATAGTATTATCTCATGTTCTATAAACATATTTTTCTCCTATCCTGCCAAAACATACCCAATTGCACTATAAAACTCGTTTGTATTTTTATTAGATTAGAAGATATACATATACTAGACATAGGATTAATCAAACCAATATTATTCGCATTATGTA